AGACAATCAAGACATTTATGAGATGCACCTTGTTTGTATATTACATCAAAGTCGTAACACTGAAGGCTTAACGACCATCTACACAGACGACTATTCGCGTCTTTTAAGCGCATTAGCCAACACAAACTGTGATGATCAGTTACAACTATAAACTTTTTGCCATAGATGTATGGACGTAGCTTCTCGATAGCCCATTTAATGGCTAAACATTCCTTCTGTGTCGTAGGATAATTACACTCGCTTTTATTAAGCGTTCGGCTGATGTAGCATACGGGATGCTCTCTTCCGTCATTATCCTTTTGAAACAGAGTAGCTCCTAATCCTATATCACATGCATCTGTGTGTATATAACACATTCTTTCTGGGTTAAAATGACTTAAAACTGGTGAGTTACATAGACTTTTCTTTAATCGTACAAAACTTTCTTGTTCGATATCTCTCCAAATGAATTTTTGATTGGTTCTAAGTAAACGGAATAATGGTGTGGTGATAGTCGAAAAATCCTTTATGAATCGTCTAAAATATCCACACATTCCTAAGAAGGATCGAAGTTCTTTCACTGTAGTGGGTACTTTCATTTCAGTAATTGCCTTTACTTTCTCTGGGTCGGTTTTACAACCTATATCTTCAACGATGTATCCTAGAAACTTGATATGATTAGTGGCAAATATGCATTTTTCAGGTTTAGCTTTCAATTGAGCATTTCTAAATCTTTTGAATAATTCGTTTAGTAATTTCAAATGTGATGGGAGGTCTTTGGAAAATGCTATAGTATCGTCNAACTCGGAGGGTCAAATGTGACACGATTCAAATACTTTTTCATTTTTCATATACATAACAAGTTGGGAAAGTAAAAGGAGTTGGGGGATTTTTGACGACTCCAACTTCACTAAAACACCACGACTCCATAGCCCTGGTTACAACGTGACACCTAAGTTATCTGCTGAGGGGAGGATGTATCCCAGGAAGACTTTTATGGGAAGCTGGGCCCTATTTAGGTGTTACTAACCTGAAGAAAACCGAGAAAACTTCATGTGGGCAGTCTGTTTGTGATTCCAGAATCCACAACGAACTAATTACCGGTGTGCAGTGGTTTTATCCATCGAATACTGGAGAGCACTTATTAGAATTAAGAAACTACTGTTTAGAAATGAAAAAAACTGGAGTTTTAGTTGTGGAAAATTAAATATCTATAGACTTCTTGTAGGGTAACACTTTCAATTCCATGCAGGCAAGTGCAATATGCTACCTGTTGCAGTAATTAAGTGAATATAATATATATTTTTAAAAATTATATTTTTTAGTTGACTGATGCCCGAAATGTGCTGTTGTCACATATCAACTAAAAATGATGGAAATAAAGCCAAGTGTTTATTTATAACTCAAATGTAAGTTCAAAGTTCAAATATTGGTTTTATTCAATGTGACATTCCTGCAATGATGATTATTTTTTTTATTATTTATTTGTTTAAATTAATATTATATTTTGTTTTATAAAAATTATTTTTCAAAATTTATTATGAATTTTAACTTATTCAATTTGTAATAAAGTTAAATTTGATTGATGGATACAATGATCATGAAATCTTTACACACAACTTTTCTATTTAAAAAACATCTTTAAATATGTAAGAATAATTAAGCTAAGTACATTTTCTTTGATTGTGAAATTTTGTGTGTACAGTACAGTACAGTACAGAACATAGTTTCTGCATACTTGACCTACAGTGTTTGTCCAATAAGTATCAGGATTGAAGTCATAAAAAAAAATTATTGAAGATATATGTACTGTGAACTAATAATCTTGAAAATATGACCTTCCTGCATCAATACACTTCTGCCAATGTTTTTCCAGTCTTCATACGCCTCCTGGAAGGTGGCAACCGCAAGGCTGTTCAGGCACCCTGTCAAAGCAGCTTGGACCATCTCAATCATCCCAAAATGATGTCCTTTCAGGCTCCTTTGATACGAGGGAACAAAAAGAAGTCAGGGGAGCCACATCTGACTGTAGGGTGATTGGAGTAGCGTTGACATGTTATGTTTGGCCACACAACTAGCAACCTGTGTGGGAGGCACTAATTATGCCTCCCACACAATTAGCAACGAGATGCTCCATCACGAAAATCCTATGTGATGGAGCATCCACGTATTGGCAATCTCCTTTCGGATGCAGTGGATCCTAACCCTCAAAAGTTCTTGCACTTTGGCCACATTTTCATTGGTTCAGGTCACTGTTGGACATCCAGCATGTTGTTCATCTTCAACATCTGCCAGCCATCTTTAAACTTTTTATGCCACTCAAAAACATGTGTTCTGGACATGGCTTCATCCTTGTAAACCTCACAGATCAGATCCAAAGTCTCAAATTGAACAAATCTGCTACTAACACAAAATTTGATGGCAAAACACTGCTTGATGGTTTGCTGCATCTTGACTTGCAATGCAAGCACGATCTACACACTCCAAAGGCTTGGAGACAACTGAGCCTGGTCTCATAGCTTACGTGACATCCCCCACCACCAATTCCACCCATAGAAACCATCCTCCACCCTTTCCCATTGGCAGACAAAATCAGTCCTGATACTTATTGAACAAACCCTGTATGTCAAAATATGACTTTTCATAAAATTTTGGTTTAAATATTTTTTAAGTACACAAAAGTAAATAATTAAATACTTATTGAATAAAATACTTCTCTCTTGTTAACAAAAATGATATTTTTGGATTTAAATTTATCACCATTCTCAAATTAACTAAAAATAATATTTTTAATTAGACATTTCACATATCCTTTCACTTGCTATGTTTAACCTCTAAACAGAAACTTCGGTCTATGAATTCATTCATCGCTCTTACATTATGCTACAGTATGACAGAACTGTTTGAGCTTTGTCTTGCCCTTCCACAGTACCTTATCTATCATCAACCACTTTCCTACAGTATGCATATGTTACTGTTCAGTTTGTGAGTATTTGCTTCAAGATACATATAGGTTTTTAAAAACATGAAAGTCTTAATGACCAAGTGTTTCATATTGTGTTCTTTATATAGTTTTCAATTGCTACTTTTGTTGCTTTATGATAAGCTTTTTCTTAATTTTAGAACTCTTTTTTATGGATATTCCATCAACAAGTACTGGTATATCAAAGAGTTTACTTTATTTGTGCAATTGTGAAAATCCACTCATCAAAAACTTCCATTTTGTTAAATGCTCAGCTCATTCTGTGTTGGATCCACATATCAAAAAACAGTTCAGTATTCCTAATGTACCCAGAGATTTTAAGGCCCAGGCAATACCAGAATATGAAAATACATGAGATAATTAAGTTTTAAGCAAAGAGGAAGGACATGCTCCAATGGATGCAAGTCTATGCTCCAAGGACAAAAATTTTCTACAAGTATATCAAATGTAATAATCTAATTTGTCTGAAGTGCTGCAGAAAGTTTGCATCACATATACAACAACAAATGACAAAGGAAATTTTTGAATAAATGTTAACTTTTAGTTTCACTACTATGAACTTAGTAATTCAAATTTATTTGAAACTAATCACAATTTTGTTTTTTTGTTGCCTAAGGATCATCATAAAATTCTTGTACAGTAACAAATATGCAAAACAGTCTACAAAAATACAAGATGTGTCTGATCAATGTTTCCAATTATGTAGTAGAGACCTATGTTTCTGTTTAAAGGTTAATTTTAATTATGTTGAAAGAACATGCCAAGTGTTTATTTCAACAAAGCTTTTAACAACATTAAAAAATGGTTGAATCATATGAAAGAATTATACATCAACAGTGTACAAATACTTTTGATTCAAAATACAACTTTTCTAAAAGATTCAACCATTTTCTAATAAATACAAAGAGATTACCTGTTATGAATATTCATAAGAGAATTTTAAAAGAGGATTTGTTACTATTTTATGCTTGAAACAAATGAATAGATATTAACTATTTACAAATAACAGTTTGAATTCTTGATTACCAATTTTCTGGCACACTTGATTCCAAAGCCTTGCCATATCAACCAAGGTCATATAATTAATGGTCCAAGATATATTGTTGAGATTTTGCTATATGAATCCCAAAGCATTGATTATATGTTTAATTTATGTTAATAGCATTGTTTAATTTAATATATAAATGTGGACTGGCATTATGCTGAATACTACTAACACTTACATTTTCTTTTAGAAAAGTTAAATGTTAGTAAAATGAACTAAAACTTGCACAGAATATAAGGATCATCAACAACTACAATGTATACAATCCAAGTGAACATGAGTTATACATAAAACCATCTGTGGCCATTCAGTGAGCAAGTCTGAAAGTCACAAGAATTTTAAGTGCATTCTCATAATTTTGTTTGAACTAAAAGTTTATATATATATATATTTTAGACATAATACATATTTAATAATTAAACATGCACAATATGTTTAAAGTGTTTTGCTTTACATAAAATATTTTCATCTGAATATTTTATTATGTTTCATTAATTTATTAACAAAAAACAATTTATTTTTGATTTACAACCAACAATTACAGCATTACTTTTAATAAACTGATAATGCTTTATTATTCATTTATGTTATATGGTATTACTGGATGAGTTTACAATATGTCAATGTTGATTATATGAGCATGTATAGACTCTTTTCATTAAAATATATGTTATCTGTATTGTTTTCATTATAACCAGAAAAAAACAAGAAAAAAATAAGCAATTGAAAATATGTTCTTTCAAAATACTAATAAAAATATGCTTTTGTTTTTCTCAAATTCAAAGTATTTGCAAACATTATTATGAAAAATAATAATTTTAAAAATACTTAGAATAATTAATAAATTTATATTTGTAAATTACTTCAATTAAATTTTTTAAAGTAAAAAAATATCTATTTTTCTTAAAAACTTATTTAAAAATTTGTTAAATGTTAAAATTTTAAACTTAAAAGCTATAGGAAAAAAATAAAAGAAATGCAATAATGACTCACCTGAATGCATCTGGTACAAATCTGACTACCATTTGAACGTATGTGGAAAAATTCTACAGAAGAATTTTGAGCAGTAGCATTAATTTTACGCTTTCCTTTACGAATTATAAACATTCGTTTAAAATGTGATAGAAACTTCAAATTTTCTTGTTGCTATACAACAGCAAATAAAATAATAAATATTGTGTAATCTTAATAATTATCTTAAATTTTCAAACAGATTTACCTGATGAGTTCTAACTACTTCTAATTTATCACCAAACAAAGATTCAAACTTCTTCTGTAAACTAAAATTAAAATTATTTCAGTAAGCACACTTTTCAAGAAAAGCTGACAATTTTCTATTAAGAATTATGTACAATTATTCAGTAATGTAAAAATTATCATCAATAACTGAAAATCATTTATTTTATTTTACCTAATTTTCATAAAAACCATTAATTAAATTATGTCAAAAAATTAATAGGAAAAGTAGTTAGGACATTTATAGCAATTGGAATTATGACAGAAATGATTACTACTAAAAACTGCTATTAAAAAACACCTTTTTAGTTAAGAAAAAAAGAAAACAATTCCAAAATAATAATACATCAAAATAATGAATTATACACATCTTTTTACTCAAATCTAATAAATTCCTGAAAATTATTTGAATATCAGAAATTAGGATTTTGAGAAGTTTTAATATTATTTCTTAACAGAAGAAATCTAATTTGATTGGGATTATTTAGATAAGACAGGAACAATTTTCCCAAATGACAATAAAACACTGAAAAATATCTTTTATCCATAATTTTAGTATGATATTAAACATTAGAAATTCTGATTACCTTACTAATAAGCACTTAATGAGGTCATAAAAGGATACATTTGTAACATTACTGCAATGAATAAGTTTATGTAGTACCTATAGAAGTTGTATATAAACTACATTTTCTCTGATATGCAGTGGAGAGCAAAGAAAATGTAATGATACTACACATTTTATATTAAAATATTACTGTATAAAAGCAGGTGAACAATGAAAATAAATAAGGGAAATAGTAAATCTATTATAATAAACTCTTTAAGGAGAAGCTTATAAGCTTTCACTGAAATTTATGATAAAAAAATCACTAAATTCAGGGATCTCACTTGCTGTTAATCAAGTTACTTTTGCAAATAAAACTTTGACTAAGAAAATTAAGTGTTCATTCATCAAATTGCAAAAAAGTTCTTCCACATTCTTTCATCAGGCAATTTGAATTGCCTGCCAGCTTGTTCATGCAAAAATAAAAACTAAGTCTTGTGGTCATTGTATCTACTAATATACTTAAAAGAATGAGACACTGAATTTATTTCTTATTCACCACCTCAAGTTAAATTTACAGTATGATCTGAATTACAAATTCAGTTAAAATGGTATTCACCACACATTATACTTAATTCAAGATTTAACTCATCACTGTTGACAAATTAATTCTCAAATTACAGATTAAGGCATTTGCTGTTTGAATTCTTAAAACATCTTGAACCTATTTGATTTTTATGATTTTAAACTCTTACAAATAAACAATTGATTTACACACATAATTACATAATTACATCATTACTGGTTTTCCCACTTTAAAAAATTCTACCCTTTCTTTTCTGGGTGATTTTTATTTGCTTTAGTTCTTTAAGATTTTGCAACAAAATAAAATTGCTTACTATTTTGTAGTATTTAAATAATTTAAATAATGGTAATTTAAATTCTGTCTCTACATTTGTTTTTTATTTCTAATACTTTTTTATATCTTGCAACTAATTCTAATAATACTTCTGTCTTGAAGTTAGTAAACTCCAACAGTGAAAGAAATTATGCTATGTATTAAACTTTGAACTCTTGCATTTAGTTTATGCCATTTACACACAATGTTTTGCACAGACATGTCATGAAGTACACAGACAAATTGGACAGCTTCATTTCACTTGAGGATTTTGCAATCCAGAGTTAGATTGAGTTGATAAATACAAAAGTTAAAGTAACTCTTAATCTAGAGTTACTAGCTCAAAATCTTGGATTACAAAACTCTCATATTCATCAAATGTTTTTGGTGAATATAGCCAATATTGCATTGTAAAGGCTAATATATTTAGTAGCTTCTGTTCTCAAGGAATGAGGATACTTCAAAATGTGATTTTGCCATATACAATGAATTAGACACTACACGTAAGAATTTAAATCTGGCTTAACACATCTAAGCAGCCTATATTGTAAATAAATTGCATTTAGAGTGTAGCATAGAACATTTCTGATCTTAACATTTCCTGCTGCAGCAAAAATTTAAAATGCTTCCTATATGATTTAACTGAACAGGAAAAATAATTAAATTTTTTCCTATTCAAACATTGTTCTCAAAATTTAGTCAAATTTATTTACTTTTAAGAGAATAATTATTTNCTGTGCGTTAATTGTGGCGCTGTGTTCCAGAAAGTCAACGAGCAGCGGGCCTCCATAGTGATGTCGGACATACACTCAACTCATCAACCTCACTTCGATCACGTCTAACAGACAAATGGCACAGCGGTGAACGTTCATGCTGTTCCTTCCTGATTCCCAATTGAGGGCACTTCTATACACACACCTATTTGCATTACCAACTTCTGTGCCACACTTGTTATATAGTCTGTCTCGTTTTCATTTGACTGCCCCTAATATAATTCAAGCTTTAAAATGTTATACCATAGAAATTCCTTATATTTGTAATTTTTAATCTGAAGTGACATGGCTATCCAATTTTCTGAGTTTTTGGGTAACCAAGATAGCATCAGTCCACATTACCTCAAATAATTGGGGTTCTACTATATGAAGCCCTAAGGGACATATAATGCTAGCCCCTCAGAATTACATTTCTGAGGTAATTGAACTTGAATGTTTGAAAAAAGTCCTAAAATGAAAAATCCCAAAACAATGAGATGACAGCCACATCTACAGGCAATGTTTGGAGAGCAAAAATATTAATACACAACTATTCGTACAATTTTAGGACTTTTTTTGAACATTCAAACTCAGTTACCTCAGACCTGATTATGAGAGTTAGTGCTATACATCCCCGAGGGCTTCATATAATAAATGTAATTTCAAAACTCTAAATTTAATTTTTAAAAATTCATTATATGCATTATGAAATTTTAAAAAATAATATTAATGATAATTAGTTTAAAAGTAATGTGCATAAAAATTTTTATGTTGTTTAATAACATGACCAAAATGTTAAATGAGGATATCTTATACAACAAAAACAAAATTCATTTTTATTGCTTCATATACAGATCCAGTATTTTTACCTGATAATAGCAGTGAGACTGAAATAGGATAATGGAAGATGATAGATATATATTTTCTCTTGTAAGGAGTTATCCTTTTTGATTAATATTGCTTCATCCCTTAAATATCTATTATATTTTGACATTGGTTCAAATTCAGTTCGAACAGTGACTCGCATATATTAAGAAGCCAAAGCTGTCCTAAAACAGGACAAAAACATACCTTTGTGAAAAATTTAAACAGTTGGTTACATGAAAGTAAACATTTTATATAGATAATGAGAAAATATTTGATACTGGTAATCACATTTTTATGAAACTTGATTTATTTATGTAACTAATAAATCAGAGTTCAATACAAAAAGCCTAACTTTTTATATTAGATTTTATTATACATATAAACACAGCTTTTTCCATTGATGTAGTTTTTCCACCACTCACTAAATTTGGAAAATATTGTTTTATTGAAGCCCACAATAACTAGGATTTATTTTATATTAGTTAAATAATTCTAATCATAATTTAAACTTAATGATGTGTAGATTAATTAAGTAGAATAAATATTTTTTAAAAAATGAGAGTTAAAAAATCATTAAGGATAAAATATCCTTAATTTAGTTTACAAAATTATTAGCATTTTGCTCAAAGACATTATGATTTTGTTTTAAATTATAAATTGATCAATTAATTTAATCAAATTTTAATTAATTTNAATTTTTTAATTTAAAAAACATTTGTTACTTGAATTTAATAGATAAATTTTACAAAATACTCAAATATGCAGTTTTTTAAATTTTGTTACCAAAATTTCTAAATAAAACAATTCAAAACAAACTAATAACATGAACAGAACACTTTATTCTATTCAATGTAAAATAATCTATAAAACTTAAAATTAATTGCACCAAACTCTTGATTATCTGTGCTAATTAGTGCAAGGGTTTGCATGGAAAACTGGAAAATAGATAATCCAAAATAGAACTCTAAACTATAAAAAATTCATTCAGAAGTTTTAAATGAACTACAGTATATATACAGCTGAATTCTATTGTAACATGATGCAAGTGTGAGTCCCATGTTTCATAAGCTAAAATGTATATTTAGTCAATACATATAAAATGCAATTTCTTCTATTTTCAAAAATATTTTAAAATATTCACAAAATATAATAGAAATAAAAGTAACAATAAATATAAAATTACAAAATATACAATTAAAATAAACATTTACAGACTATATAATAAAACTCAGTACTTTTCATTATATTGTCCCTAAGTCATGTTGCTATGTGATATTCAATTGCATAGTCATATAAGGATTGCCATGCATATGATAGTTGTTTTTCATCTTTAAAATTTATGCAATGGCCTTTTCTTTTTAGATTTAAATATTTCTAATGTTTCTAGTATCTTGATGGAGTTGGCATGTTTTGATCTTTTGATGATGTTTATTTTGATTGAACGATCTTTTATTTATATTTCATATATCTTGAGAATCTCTTTTGTTTAATTTTTCAAAATGCATCATGGCTGATAAGCATTCCGTCAACAAATATAGAATCAAGACCTGAAGAAGATCTCCAATTGCATATCAAAAACGTTTGTCAGAAAAACTATTTCGAATTAACCCTTACTGGAAAATAATTTAAAGATTTTGATGGAAGTATTTACATTTCTACATATAATTCTTACATTTTTTCCAAATAATTAAATTTTAATTTTAGGACTTATAGGATAGTTATTTCAAATTTACTGTTTATAGCATATAAGTGTGATTTTTTTTTCATATTCTATCAATAAATTTCTAAAGTTTTGTTGGTAAATTGAGGTCATCTGCCAAGGACATTTTAGACTGTTTCTTNTACAAGTACCTTCACACTCTATCTTTCTATTATCTGCTACGATTAGTTTAATAGATTCAGGACGTATTTTCAGTCTTAATTCTATACATAGTTTTCGGCTTATCAATGATTTCTCTGAGGCCGTATCAATGATGGCAC